GTGTGTGTGTCTCTCTCTCTCTGTGTGTGTCTCTCTCTGTGTGTCTGTGTGTGTCTGTGTGTCTCTCTCTCTGTGTGTCTGTGTTGTCTCTGTGTGTGTCTCTCTGTGTGTGTCTCTGTGTGTGTCTCTCTCTGTGTGTGTCTGTGTGTCTCTGTGTGTCTCTGTGTGTCTGTGTGTGTCTCTCTCTCTGTGTCTGTGTGTCTCTCTGTGTGTGTCTCTGTGTCTCTGTGTGTGTGTCTCTCTCTCTCTGTGTGTGTCTCTCTCTGTGTGTCTGTGTGTGTCTGTGTGTCTCTCTCTCTGTGTGTCTGTGTTGTCTCTGTGTGTGTCTCTCTCTGTGTGTGTCTCTCTCTGTGTGTCTGTGTGTGTCTGTGTGTCTCTCTGTGTGTCTCTGTGTGTCTGTGTGTGTCTCTCTCTGCTCGCCGTGCCCACCCTGCTGGCGCCACTCGCCCACGTGGCCCTGCAGCCCTCCAAGGAGTGAGCGAGCCCGCGCCTAGATCCACTCAGCCTCGACACGCCTCTGTGTGTCTCTGTGTTGTCTCTCTCTGCTTGTGTGTCTGTGTCTCTCTCTGTGTTGTCTCTCTCTGCTTGTGTGTCTATGTTGTGTCTGTGTGTGTCTCTCTCTGTGTGTGTCTCTGTGTGTCTATGTTGTGTCTCTGTCTCTGTGTTGTCACTATCTGCTTGTGTCTCTGTCTCTCTGTGTGTGTCTCTGTGTTGTCTCTCTCTGCTTGTGCGTCTCTATGTTGTCTCTGTGTTGTCTCTCTCTGTGTCTGTGTTGTCTCTCTCTGTGTGTCTGTTGTCTCTCTGTGTCGTCTGTGTGTCTATGTTGTGTGTTTATGTTGTGTCTCTGTGTTGTCTCTCTCTGTGTGTCTATGTTGTGTGTGTCTCTTTGTGTCTCTGTGTTGTCTGTATGTCTCTCTCTGTGTGTCTCCCTCTGTGTGTCTCTGTCTGTGTTGTGTCTTTGTGTGTCTCTCTGTGTTGTCTCTCTCTGCTTGTGTGTCTGTCTGTTTGTCTCCGTGTCTGTGTATTGTCTCGCTCTCAAATTCAGTTCTACCTGATGACGGTTGCTTGTGTTTCAATCGAAACGTCGTATTCCACGATTTATTTTCTTTTCTTTCTACGTCACTTTACCGAAAGAACCAAAGGGGAGTCCCCAACTAGAGTCGTGTTAATCCGTCTGGTTCACTTGTTAATCTTGTTAACACACCAACAAAGTGTTTGTTTCCTTCATCACGAGGCCTCCTTTGCCAGTAACAAAATATATGAATAGGTTTTGTACCCTATTTTTGGCAACAAAACTGACACCTTTGGAACCTCATTTGCCAGTAAAAAATATGATAATTGGTTTTTAACCCTTCTATCTGGCAACAAAACTGACACCTTTTTTACAAGGAGTCATGTTTGCATAGACCACGATACCTGCAGTCATAATGCAAACAAAAAACACAACTCTGATAATGTATGCACTGTCCTTGAAGTTGATTGGTCCACACCCGAGACAGCTTTCCTTAAGAGCCTAGTCTCACATGGTGTTGGACCAGATGACGCCAAAAGGCGCACATTTTTACAGAGGATCATGTTTGCATATTAACCACAATACCTGCGGTCAGAATGCAAACAAAAAAAACACAACTCTGATAATGTATGCACTGTCCTTGAAACTGATTGGTCCTCACCAGAGACAGCTTTCCTTACAGCCCAGTCTCATACAGTGTTCGACAAGGCGCGCAGTTCAGAGGCAACGCACCATCAGAGTAATGAGGGCTCATTTGCCGGTACCAAAATATAATCGGGTTTCTCCCCTTTTTTCTGGCAACAATACTTGACTGCAAGTATTGTGGTTAATGTAAACATGACCCCTTGCAAAAGGTTTCAGTTTTGTTGCCAGAAAAAGGGGGAAAAACCCTTATTACTATATTTTGGTACATGATGTGGATTTCCCTTATACGTGACATCCACATCATGTAACAAAATATAGTAATAGGAGTTTCTCCCCTTTTTTCTGGCAACAAAACTGAAACCTTTTGCAAGGGGTCAATGTTTACATTAACCACAATACTTGCAGTCAAGTATTGTTGCCAGAAAAAAGGGGAGAAACCCGATTATATTTTGGTACCGGCAAATGAGCCCTCATTACTCTGATGGTGCGTTGCCTCTGAACTGCGCGCCTTGTCGAACACTGTATGAGACTGGGCTGTAAGGAAAGCTGTCTCTGGTTAGGGAAAACAAATATTTAATTACCAATTGCTTAATACTGGCAGACAATCATCTGACCCATAGGTGGCAGCCATCTCAAGCCAGAGGACGAGAGGACTCTAGCCGCAACGCATATAAAGGATTTAGAGTGAAAAACTTTGTTTTTACGGGTTATACTTATCCATTTGCTTCCTCGTCTTCCGTTAAATTGTGAAATCTCTCCCCCCCCCCCACCACCTCTCCCCTCCGCCCACTTAGCAATATCCACGGACCATGGGACGAAGCCGAGATCAAGGACGACGACATCGCCAGCTTCTTGACCTAGTGACCACCAGAGGTCGCTAACGGGTTTTGATTCCTTACCCGTACCCGGCCGCACCAGGGTCGCAAACGGGTACCCGTACCCGTACCTGGCCGGGTAGCCGGGTATTAGGTAGGGTACGAGTATCGGGTACCTGATTGCGACCTCTGGGATGAAGCCACGTTGCAGGCGCGGGTGGGTTGATTCTAGGAACTTGAATTGTGAGAAGAGACAAGACGTTGGGAAATGAGTGACAAACGGTGACTCACCAGTGACTCACGGTCTACCCGTACCCGGCCGCACCAGGGTCGCAAACGGCTACCCGTACCCGGCTGGGTACGGGTAGCCGGGTATCGGGTACCCTGTTGCGACCTCTGGTGACCACGCGGCATGTCCACTCTCCCCACCGCCGCTCTCGCCCACGACGTGTATACTCCTGCAACTCCAATCGCGCTCCCCAAACCCATAACTTACGCTGGCACCACCAAAGTGCGACGGCGGCAGTAATAAACTGACACGTTTATACGAGGCATCATGTTTGCAATAGCCACAACACAAGCAGTCGAAATGCTAACAAAAAGAAACAACTCTTCTTCTTGGTTCTTTCGGTAAAGTCACGTAGAAGGGAAATAATAAAATAAAAATAAAACATAATAAATAAAATATTATATTTTATGTTTTATTTCTATTTTATTATTTCCCTTCTACGTGACTTTACCGAAATAAATAAAACATAATAAAATATTTTATCATGTTTTATTTCCCTTCTAAAAACAAAGCATAGCAAAATAATATAATTATTTTATTATGGGTTATTTTTATGACTTCATTTCCCTTCTACGTGGCATTAACCGAAAGAACCAAGAAGATGAATCCCTGCAAGTCACGAAAGAAGCTTTCAATAGTAATAAACTTGTTTTGAGGTTTTTATTTCGATTTCATTTGTACATTTTTCAGCCAAATTCCTCTCGCGAGTGGTTCCCCTGCGCCGCGCCGATATTACGATTCGTCGAAGACACAATCCACCCCCCCCCCCCCCCCCCCAAGGACACGCACGCACACAGCTGCTCGTGGGAGCTACGCAACCAATAAGCATCGACATGATCCACTCCCCGGCCCCGTAATGTCGCTCCCCGCGATCCACCAAACGATTCCAGCGATCGGTCAAAAAAAAAATTGCCCCTTTCTCTGCCGCGTATGTCCCACTCTCGCTCTCGCCACCATTTGGAATGTGGAATTTCCTCCCGTGACTCTGCGAGGGGCCGAGTGGACCCGCGTTGAGAATCGGCGTCGTAAAAGCATCCGTGCTGGCCCCCCCCCCAAAGCGTAGAAAAGGCTCCGTAAAGATTTGTCGTAGCGAGGGTCCGAAATGTCCTAAGAGAAAAGGGATCGTTACTCAAAGTAAATAAATGCTCTTAAGTTTTTTTGGGGAAAGTCACGTGGGTAAAAAAATGAAATTAAAATTAATAAAAATAAAATTATTTATTTTTATTAATTTTAATTAAAAATTAATAAAAATAAAATAAAATGATTACATTTGTATTAATTTTAATTAAAAATTAATAAAAATAAAAATATTTTTATTAATTTAAATTTCATTTTTTTACCTACGTGACTTTACCCAAAAAACTTTGAGTATTAAAATTAATAAAAATACAATTATTTTATTTTTATTAATTTTAATTACATTTTTTACCTACGTGACTTTACCGAAAAAAACAAGAGTATGAATCCTTGCAGTCACGAAAGCTTCAAATCTAAAGTAAATAAAGCCCAAGAGCAGTTGCTCGGGAGCATGTGACCACACCCACCGCACCGGCCAATTAGCTGCCAAGAAGACAACCCCCCCCCCAAGCAACATGGCCGCCATGATGTCCCCCCCGCCTGCCACCCCCAAGCAAGATGGCCGATGAGAAATCCCCCACGCAACATGGCCGTCATGTCCCCCAGGCAACATGGCCGCCACGATGTCCCCCACGCATCATGGCCGCCACGATGTCCCCCAGGCAACATGGCCGCCACGATGTCCCCCACGCAACATGGCCGTCATGTCCCCCAGGCAACATGGCCGCCACAATGTCCCCCAGGCAACATGGCCGCCACGATGTCCCCCAGGCAACATGGCCGCCACGATGTCCCCCAGGCATCATGGCCGCCACGATGTCCCCCAGGCATCATGGCCGCCACGATGTCCCCTAGGCAACATGGTCGACCAAGGGGAAATGTTCCCAATTTAAAAAAAAATCAAAGGTGCATCCCCGCAACTGCTCCCTCACCCCCCCTGCTGGCGGAAGTGTCTCCCGCCAGAGGGAGCTCTGTGAGACGGGGGCAATTTTGGCCTCTCCTACGCTGGCCAAACCATCCTGGAAAGAGGTTTTGAGTAACCCATACTCAAGCTAAACTTGATTTTTTTTATTTCATCAACTAAAGCTCACTGAGCTCTAGAGCTCTTTTTAAGACGCGGCCTGGCCCACAAGTGGATAAGCTCAACTTAGCGGCTCGTCATCACGCGCAAAAAAATTACAGCGGTAGCCCAAATACTCTGATAAACGCACGTTTGTCGATTGTAAATGTGTGGACCCTGGGAAAGACCGGAGATGACTCCATGCGATCACCACGGTGGGGGGTGAGGAGGGAGAGGGTGGGGTGTGAGAAGAGAGAGACGCAGACTCCAAATCTACAGCAGCGGGCATCGTCAGGTTCGGGATCGAACCCACGACCTCCTGCGTACCAGGCGAGGTAGTTAACATCTCCTAGCCACCGTGATAATGATGAGAGACACACAGACTCCAAATCTACAGCAGGCATCGTCAGGTTCGGGATCGAACCCACGACCTCTTGCGTACCCGGGGCGAGGGAGACCACATCTCCCCCTCTCTACCAGTCGATGGGGTCGGACCCCGGGGGTGTGACTCAAAACTTGACGTGCCGAGTCCAGGAGATGGAGTCAAAAACCCGGGGGGGGGGGGGGGGGCGTTTAAATTTTTCCACCTCCCAAAGAACTTTGACTCTTACAAAATCCAAACCGGGGGGGGGGGGGGGGGGGGGGTGGTTGCAGAAGCGGACGTCTCGGCCGCACTGCTACGCTGAGAACGGAGCGCGTGGGGGAAATTCCACATTCCCAGGGCGGGAAAGCAGGCGGGGGGACCCCCCCTTTGTCTGTCCCATGAGGTGGGGGTGAGTGCCGCCGTGAAACGAACGGCGACTGCCGGGCAGTGTCGTCGTCACCGTCGTCGTCAAATAAAAAGCCAGAAACGACAAAAAAAATTCGCTGAGCAATGGAGCCACCCTTGAGAATGTCCAGTCTCGGACGCCCGTCTACCTGTGAAATGTCGTGACCGGAACACGCAGGGGTGGGGGTCATGTGGGGGTCATGGGAGAGTCAGGGGAGGTCAGAGACACGTGGGAAGGAACATTCACCGCGGCGGCGCTGGTCACGTTCAGTTAACCCGCGCCAACCCCAACCCCGTGACTGCACACGCACACACAAGGGGACGGGTTAAATACCAATGCAAAAAGCGGGGCTCGTGCACACGCACGTGCACGCATACATGTACACGCGCGCGGATACATGTACACGCGCATGCATACATACATGTACACGCGCGCGGATACATGTACACGCGCATGCATACATACATGTACACGCGCGCGGATACATGTACACGCGCATGCATACATACATGTACACGCGCGCGGATACATGTACACGCTCACGCGTACATGTACACGCGCGCACGCTGCCACTGCGCGGAAAGGAAACGGCCGAGCTGCTTCGTGTCGCGACTATTTTCGGGGCGGCGATCGCCGCTGCGATCAGTCGTGATGACCCACGGCACGACCTCCGGCCGAAGTCCACCCTCCCCACACCGCTGAAGTCCACCCTCCCCACCGCTGCCCCCGTAGTCGTAGCCGCAGCAGCAGCAGCGGTTCTGTTTGAACCGTGAGCCGAGCGGTGACGATTCCGTCTCGTCCTCCTTTCACCGTCGCTCGTGGCAATCCGAGAGGATGGTGACAACGAAAACGTGAGCGGAGGCGATTGTATTTTCCCTCTCTCTCCGTCTCTCTCTCTCTCTCTCCCCGTCGTTTTTCCTCTCTTCTCAACGTCGCGGTTCGGGCAAAACAACATGCGCTGTGTGTCACTGTGTGTGTGTGCAATGGGTCACTGCGTGTGTGTGTGCGTGCAATGGGTCACTGCGTGTGTGTGTGTGTGCAATGGGTCACTGCGTGTGCGCGTGCGTGCAATGGGTCGCTGCGTGTGTGTGTGCAATGGGTCGCTGCGTGTGTGTGTGTGCAATGGGTCACTGCGTGTGCGCGTGCGTGCAATGGGTCGCTGCGTGTGTGTGTGTGTGCAATGGGTCACTGCGTGTGCGCGTGCGTGCAATGGGTCGCTGCGTGTGTGTGTGCGTGCAATGGGTCGCTGCGTGTGTGTGTGCAATGGGTCGCTGCGTGTGTGTGTGCAATGGGTCGCTGCGTGTGTGTGTGCAATGGGTCACCGTGTGTGTGTGTGTGCAATCGGCCACTGTGTGTGTTTGTGTGATGGGTCACCGTGTGTGTGTGTGTGCAATCGGCCACTGTGTGTGTTTGTGTGATGGGTCACTGTGTGTGTGTGTGTGCAATCGGCCACTGTGTGTGTTTGTGTGATGGGTCACTGTGTCTGCGTGCTCCCTCCAGTCTCGTGGTGACGACTCCCTCCGCCAACACCGAGCACGGTGGGCGCGGGGGAAGGCTGCCGTCGCCATGACGACGACGACGACGATGAAGACGACGACGACGACGACGACAACCGCTTCGTTCGAGATTTTTTAAATAAATGTCGTCGCTCCGTCGCAAGCCGGACGGGACGCGGAGAGGAGCGAGGAGAGGAGTTGACGGAGGGGTCGCGTGCCCCCCCCCCGGAGCCGAGTCAGGCCGACCGCGGCGCCACACATCCATCCGACCCCGAGCTTTGTGCGAGAGGCGTTCCAAGGTTCAAAAAGTTCACCGCGTCCGCGACCCCCAGCCACACACACGACCCTCCACTCTGGCCCGTACGTTGCGAAGCGTTGGCCCCCCGTCGATCCGTGCCGCTCGCCATCGCCCCCCCTTGGACGGACACGGAGGAACGGTGGGTGGGGGGGGGGCGCGGTGGGGGTGGGGGGCGGTGGGGGGTGCGGTGGGGGGGGGGTGGGGGGGGCCACCACGTCCCGTTGTGAGGACGTCGAGCGACTGACCGCCGCCATCGTGACCGCCGCCGCCACCATCTCCGGAATGGGGGGGGCAGTCACCGTGACGGTGGCGGCGGTAGTGGTGGTAATAGTGGTGGTGGTGGCGGTAACGGTGTTGGCAGTGGCGGTAGCAGTGGTTGTAGTGGTGGTGGTGGCGGTGGTGGCGGTGGTGATGTCGGTGGCGGTGGCGTCAAGTGATAAAGGGGGGGGGAGGGAGGGGGCAAAACAAAATAATAATAATAATAAACAACACGGTTACATTAATATATATATAAAAAAGCTAAGTCTAAGGTTTAAAATTAAAACGCTAACAAACAAAACCGGAACACGCCTGGGAAACACAACAGGAGAAAGGTCAAAGGGGACTGACCCAAAACCCGTCGCTTAACTCAACGGGGGCCGGGGGGGGGGGGTGGTGAGGGGGGGGGGGTGAGGGGGGATGTGTGTGGGGGGGGGGGGGGCAGGGGTTGGCGATCCACGCAGAGATGCCTGCAAGACTGCAACAAGAGTCCCCGGGCTACGGGGGCACGGGAGGTGGGTGGGTGTGTGGGGGGGGGGGGGGGCGGCACTGTACAGTGCTGGCAGCACAGCAACATCGATCCACCCGTACGGAACCCGGAATCCATCCGTGCGGAATTCCCGCGGAAGGCCGGGGGACGGGGGGGGGGAGAGGGGTGGTGGCGGTTCTCCTGGATGCCGGGGGAAACCGCACGGCACGCGTTCGCGCGTGCCGTGCGTGTCACCGATAAAGAGGACTTCCTTGTGGGAACGTCGAGCGGAGGACTAGCGTCACTCCCTCCTCCCTCCCTCCCTCCTCCCTCCCTCCCCGCGGGGCGAGCGGTGACGACGCGGCAAAAACCGCCAACGTGACCGCCGCCGCCATTCCCTCCGGCTCCCTACCTCCCCCCACCCTCGTCATCTTCATCCACCGGATGATGGGGGCCACAAGCCTTGAAAAAGCTGGACCGTCTTCATTTCTTCCTCCTTCCTACCACCCCCCGCCCCTGGCTCCTCCTTCATTCCACCTCCTCCACCACCTCCACCACCACCTCCTCGTCGCCGTGGTCGTGGTCGTCAGGGCAACTCCTCCTGATCGCCGGCGGCCCTCGCGCCGAGCTGCGGCTTGATGGGGCCCGTCCGTGCCGGCTTCCCGCACGGCGGCAGCGGCCCCTGGTGGACGTCGGTGGCGTCGTTGCCGGCGACGGTGACGGCGGCACCGCCGCCGTCACCGCTTGGAACGCCGGGGGCCACCGTGGCCCCGTCGGCGGGGCAAGCGGCCTGCTGATCGTGGGTTTGTTCGGCGGTGGAGGAGGCCGGTGGTTGCGTGCCAGGCTTGCCCTGCTGCTGCTGATGCTGCTGCTGATGGTGCTGATGGTGCTGATGGTGCTGCTGCTGATGATGCTGCTGCTGCTGCCCGGCGAAGAATTTCTGGGTCGACTGCAGAACCTCAGCTCGCTGCTTGGCCTGGTGGAGAGAGGAGAGGAGAGAGGGGGGGGAGAGAGACGGCGTCACAACTACGATCGCTGCCCCCACCACCCCCATCGCCACCGCCCCGTCGCGATCACCGCCATCACCAAACAGACCGTCGGGGCGAGCGCCGTGAGCGAGCGTCACCGTGGCGGCGGCAGAGCGCGCCACGTTCCACCGAACCGCCCTCCCTCTCACCTTCATCTCGCGCGGGTTGACGAACGGCGGTGGCGACGACGACGACACCGCCACTCGGCTGCCCACCGGCGCTAGCGCGGCCGCTTGCTCCTGCTGCTGCTGCTGTTCCTGCTGCTGCTCCTGCTGCTGAGCGGGGGGCAGCGCTGCGGGCTGCTGACCGCCGCCGCCACTGGGCGGTCTGGTGAACCGGGCCGCGATGGAACCGCCCGGCGGAGCTGACGACGGCTGCTGCTGCTGTTGCTGCTGCTGCTGTGGTTGCTGTTGATGCTGTTGCTGCAGCTGCGGCTGTTGCTGCTGCTGCTGCTGCGGCTGCTGCTGCTGCTGCGGCGGAGTCGCCACCCGCGGCTGAGGCGTCGGCGGTGGCGGGCGCTGGATGGGCGCGGGGAAGGTGGTGCCCTGGGCGGGACGCACCGTCTGGCGCAGCAGCGCCGGCTGGGGCATGGCCTGCCATGTGGGGAGGGGGGTGAGGGGGGGGGGCAGAGGGGGGGTGAGGGGGACACACACACGCTTCGTTGGTTCAGGGATTATCTATCGCTGCCCCGACTGGAACTTTGGTTGCATCTTCCCGACCCCCCCCCCCCCCGCTGACCCCCCCGCCCTAACCCTACCCCCCCCCGTTGACCCCACACACACAAAGACAAATGTCCCCTCTCTGTCGGTATAGCCCAGGGGTCGGCAACCTACGGCTCCGGAGCCGCATGCGGCTCTTTACGGGCTGCTTCTTGACGATGAGTACGTATGTACAGTATGTACTCAGATGCATTGCGGCTCTTGAAATACTGAATTTTGTACCGAATTGGAAAGAAATGGCTCTTCTTGTTATTTTGGTTGCCGACCCCTGGTATAACCTCTCGCAGGCTGTTTCGGGCAAGTGCCGTTAGCGAATAGCCCCTGTGAATGCCGGCACGGCGCGGCGGCGGCTACGATGGGGGGGGTGGGAGGCGTGACCAGACCCACGTACGCCCGGCCGCTTTTGTCTCCCCGGTGGCGACGTTTACCACACCGCACGAGGTACTCGTTCGATGCTGGGTCGACCTAGGGGAGGGGCGACAGGTGTGGGGGGGGGGGGGCGGTGTCCCCCCCCGGCACCGGTTCACAGCAGAGGTCGCAACCGGGTACCCGATACCCGTACCCCTACCCGATACCCGGCTACCCATACCCGGCCGGGTATGGGTACAGGTACCAGTTTGCGACCCTGGTGCGGCCGGGTACGGGTACGGGTAGGCCGTGAGTCACTGGTGAGTCACCGTTTGTCACTCATTTCGGGTAGGGTACGGGAACGGCTACCCGTACCCGGCCAGGTACGGGTGCGGGTACCCATTTGCGACCCTGGTGCGGCCGGGTACGGGTAAGGAATCAAAACCCGTTTGCGACCTCTGAGTCAGGGGCCAAGACATGGCTTCATCCCAGAGGTCGCAAACGGGTACCCGTACCCTACCCGATACCCGGCCGGGTATGGGTAGCTGGGTATCGGGTATGGTACGGGTACCCGTTTGCGACCCTGGTGCGGCCGGGTACGGGTACAGGTACGGGTACAGGTACGGGTACGGGTACAGGTACGGGTACAGGTAGGGTACGGGTAGGGTACGGGTAGGGTACGGGTAGGGTACAGGTACGGGTACGAAATCAAAACCCGTTTGTGACCTCTGGTTCAAAGGCGCGGTTCACCTGTGTGGGGAGGTAGTGCGGGGGGTAAGGGGGCGGCCCCCCGACCCTCACGGCTCCGGCTCCCGGGTGCTTGGGGAAGCACGGTGGGGGGGGGGCGGCAGTCGTCGCCGCCGGCGGCCCGGCACCACCGGACGCCGTCACCGTCACCACCGCGGTCGTCTGGGGGGTCAGCCCGGCCGTCCTGGGGGGGCGGGTCAGGGGGGGTCGGGGGGGGGTCAGAGGATCGAACGAGGTCACAGCGGCTCCCGGTTTTTTTCCCCCCTTCCACGTTTCGGGAACACGCAGTTCATACCTTCAGCAGGGCTGAAGGTATGAACTATCACCACCACAATTCACCGTCACAATCACCACCATCACGACTCATCACGGTCACAATCACCACCACCGTGATCACCATCACTGTCACAATCACCGCCATCATCACCGTCACGGTCACAATCGCCGCCACCACCACGATCACAATCACCGTCATGATCACCACCACAATTCACCGTCACAATCACCACCATCATGACTCATCACGGTCACAATCACCACCACCGTGATCACCATCACTGTCACAATCACCGCCATCATCACCGTCACGGTCACAATCGCCGCCACCACCACGATCACAATCACCGTCACGATCACCACCACAATTCACCGTCACAATCACCACCATCATGACTCATCACGGTCACAATCACCACCACCGTGATCACCATCACTGTCACAATCACTGCCATCATCACCGTCACGGTCACAATCGCCACCACCACCACGATCACAATCACCGCCACCGTCACAATCACCACCACAATTCACCGTCACAATCACCACCATCATGACTCATCACGGTCACAATCACCACCACCGTGATCACCATCACTGTCACAATCACCGCCATCATCACCGTCACGGTCACAATCGCCACCACCATCACCACCACGATCACAATCACCGCCACCGTCACGATCACCACCACAATTCACCGTCATCATGACTCATCACGGTCACAATCACCACCACCACGATCACAATCACCGCCATCATCACGATCACAATCACCACCACCACCACCACAATCACCGTCACGATCACCGTCCCGAATGGCAGCATCGCAACCGTGGCAATCGCCACCCCACCACCGTTACCGTCGCAGTCACCGCCACCACCACGATCACAATCACCGTCACCGTCACGATCACCGTCACGAATGGCAGCATCGCAACCATCGCAATCGCCACCCCACCACCGTTACCGTCACAGTCGCCACCACCACCAAGATCACAATCACCGTCACGATCACCGTCACGAATGGCAGCATCGCAACCGTCGCAATCGCCACCCCACCACCGTTACCGTCGCAGTCAGCGCCACCACCACGATCACAATCACAGTCAGCGCACACCTGAAGGTGCAGGAGGAGGCCGGGCCGCCGAGGGTGGAGGAACCCTGGCCGAGGTCCTCTCCCATTCGCTCCGACTCCCCCGGCTGCTGACAGAGAGAGCCACAGTCGGGGTGAGGATCGGGACGAAAGTCGCTCAGGGCGAGCGTCAGGGGTGAGAGTCAGAGTCAGGGCCAGGACCATCCCCTACCGCCTTTGTCTCCCCCGTGGAGATGTTTAAACACCGCACCGGCAGAGGTCGCAACCGGGTACCCGATAACCGTACCCTACCCGATACCCGGCTACCCGTACCCGGTGGTGGGGTGGGGTACGGGTAGCCGGGTATCGGGTAGGGTACGGGTATCGGGTACCCGATTGCGACCTCTGGGATGAAGCCATGTTGCAGGCGCGGGTGGGTTGATTCTAGGAACTTGAATTGTGAGAAGAGACTCAAGACGTTGGGAAATGAGTGACAAACGGTGACTCACCAGTGACTCACGGCCTACCCGTACCCGGCCGCACCAGGGTCGCAAACGGCTACCCGGGTACGGGTAGCCGGGTATCGGGTAGGGTACGGGTATCGGGTACCCGGTTGCGACCTCTGGCGCAGACTCGCCTGCCGCGAGGGCTCACCGACGATGGGACTTGCGGGAGACCCCAGGGCTCTCAGGGATCTGTGAGCTCATACTCTTAGTTCTTTCGGTAAAGTCACGAAGGTAAAAAATGAAATTAAAATTAATAAAATAAAATAAAAATCATTGATGCAGCAAATCTGGCTGTGACGGTCCCACCTGATGACGGAGACTTGTGTTGCCTCCGAAACGTCGTGATTTTTATTTCATTTAATTAATTTTAATTTCATTTTTTACCTACGTGACTTTACCGAAAGAACTAAGAGTATGAATCCTTGCAGTCACGAAAGCTTCAAATCTAGAATCTGTGAGCTCCTCTCACACTGTGATCCACTCTCTCTCCTCTCTCTCTCTATCGCACTCCTCACTCCTCTCCCCTTACCGCCTGTACCCCCCCCCCCCCCCCCCCCCGTATGACCACACAGCAGAGGCTACCCGTACCCAGGTGGGTACGGGTAGCCGTGAGTCACTGGTGAGTAACCGTTTGTCACTCATTTCCCAACGTCTTGTCTCTACGGGTACGGCCGGGTACGGGTACCCGTTTGCGACCCTGGTGCGGCCGGGTACGGGTAAGGAATCAAAACCCGTTTGCGACCTCTGCCGCACGGGGGGAGGGGAGAGGGGGGCCCACACCTCCACTCACCTTGGCGGGCGCCGCTGCTGCGCGGATTCCAAACGGAGGCTGCGCCGGTTGGGAGGGGAGCAGAGTAGCCGGTGCAAGGGAGGCCTGGACAGACAAAGATCGCCCACCCCCACCGCCCCCGTGTAGGCTTAACAGAGTGTCGGGGCAAGCGCTGTTAAGCGAGCTGGTGAAGGCTGGCGCAGAACAGGGGGTGGATGGGTGGTGGCCAGCACCACGCCCGGCCGCCTTTGTCTCCCCCATCAAAGACAAAGATCCCCCGTGTAGCCTTAACAGAGTGTCGGGCCAAGTGCTGTTAGCGAACAGCACCTGTGAAGGCCGGCACGGCACACGAGGAGACGGGTGGCCAGCACCACGCGCCTTTGTCTCCGCAGTGACGACGTTTACTACACACAGCACCGGGTACTCATTTTGAGGCTGAGTCGACCTAGGGGAGGCCCAGGACCGGTGCAGATAATCGCCACCGGTGTTGGCCGTGAGCGGGAATCGAACTCGGGTCTCCGGGTTCGTGGCGCATTGCGCTAACCGCTACACTACCGCACAAAAAAAGACAAAGATCCCCCGTATAGCCTGAACAGACTGCAGGGGCAAGTGCTGTTAGCGAGCAGCACCTACGAAGGCCGGCACGGCACACGAGGGGGTGGGTGGCCAGCACCACGCCCGACCGCCTCTGTCCACACACTTGTCTGTTTGACTGTCCATCTGTCTATCCATCTGTCTATCTATCAAGCCATCGATCTTCTGTCTATCCATCTGTCTCGTCTGTGTGTCCGCCTGTCCGCATGAGTCTCTGTATGGGTTAGTCTGTGTGCGGTGTGTAGTAAGTGTCGCCACTGGGGAGATAAAAGTGGCCGGGCGTGGCGCCGGCCGCACTCCCCTCTCTCGTGTGCCGTGCCGTCCTTCATAGGTGCTGCTAGCTAACAGCACTTGCCCCAACGGTCTGTTAAAGGATATATACGGGTGATCTGTGTCTTCGTCTGTATGTGTTGGTCTCTGTCTTTAGCAGTGTCTGCATGTCTGCGTGTCTGCATATCCGTGTGTCTGCGTGTCCGTGTGTCTGCATGTCCGTGTGTCTGCAGAGTCCGTATGTCTGCATGTCCGTGTGTCTGCATATCCGTGTGACTGTGTGTCTGCATGTCCGTGTGTCTGCATGTCCGTGTGTCTGCATGTCCGTGTGTCTGCATGTCCGTGTGTCTGCATGTCCGTGTGTCTGCATGTCCGTGTGTCTGCGTGTCCGCGTGTCTGTGTGTCTGCATGTCCGCGTGTCCGCGTGTCTGCATGTCTGTGTCTGCATGTCTGCGTGTCTGCGTGTCTGCATGTCTGTATGTCCGTGTGTCTGCATGTCCGTGTGTCTGTGTGTCTGCATGTCCGTGTGTCTGCGTATATGTGTGTCTGTGTGTCTGCGTGTATGCGTGTATGTGTGTATGTGTGTCCGCGTGTCTGTGTGTTTGCGTGTCCGTGTGTCTGCGTGTCCGTGTGTCCGCGTGTCTGTGTGTCTGCGTATATGCGTGTCTGTGTGTCTGCGTGTCTGTGTGTTTGCATGTCCGTGTGTCTGTGTGTCTGTGTCTGCATGTCTGTGTGTCTGCGTGTCCGTGTGTCTGCGTGTCTGTGTGTGTCTGCATGTCCGTGTGTCTGCGTGTCTGTGTGTCTGCGTGTCTACGTGTCTGCATGTCTGCGTGTCTGCATGTCTGCGTGTCTGTGTGTCTGCATGTCTGCGTGTCTGCGTGTCTGTGTGTCTGTCTCAGTGGTAGAGGCTTGCCTGATGCTGTAGGATGCCTCCTGGAGCCTGTGAAAACCCATTCTGCTTGTGTTGCTGATGATGTCCAGATGGAAACACAGTCTGGCATTCCTATAAGAACCGCAACCACCACCATCATCATAACCACAACCCCCATCATCATGATAACCACAACCATTATCACAACTACCGCCACCATCATCACCAGCACCATCACCACCACCACAACCACCATCATAACCACAACCATTACAACTACTACTACCGTCATCACCAGCACCATCATTATTATCAACACAACCACCATCATCATAACCACAACCTTCATTATCATCACCAAAACCACCATCGCCATAACCACAACCACCATCGTCATCATCATCACCACCACCACCACAACATACATAACCACAACCTTCATCACAACTACCTCCACCACAATCATCACCAGCACCACAACCACCACCCACAATGACTATAATAACCACAACCACCACCATCTTCTACACCAGCACCAACAACCACTAC